AGGCATGTTATAGGTCGGTAATTTTTTAGGTTCCGTGGTGTTTCCATTTTTATATAGTAAGTGGGTAATACCAGTTGTAAGAAGTCTCGGGAGCTCACAGCACTCAATGGCTTCTTTAATCTGTGCAGCCAAACGCACGTGGCTACTTGTTATCCATTTCAGCCAAAAGTTATGTATACCATCTGGTCCAGGTGATTTCCAGTTGTGTAATCTACGAGTAATTGAGTGTACATCTTCAGCAGTAATTGAAATAGAACCCACGTTAGCCAATTTAGAAAACTTACGTTCGATTGCACGAATCCATTCGCCTTCATTATGAGAAACTTCGTTAGACCACATACTTTTCCAAAAATTTAGACATTCATTTAAGCTTGGGCTGCCATAAGTACAACAATCAGTTGTAGTGTTCTCCCAAGACCGATACACCCACTTTTGGTTACTTTCGAATGTGCGATTCTGGAAGTACCGTTTAGATCTTTCTGAATATCGTCTAATACGGTTGGCCCATGCTTTTAACTTTTGTTTTTGTGTATCAATGAATTCAGTAATTTTATCCGGAAAATGTGGATCTGATTGGCTAATATCATTTTCATTAGCGATTTGATTTACTAAAGTAATTATTTTTTTTTTACGCCTGTTACCTGTTTGGTAGCTTATTAATTTTCCTATAATTTTGCGAGTATTGTCAATTCGTTTTTGAATTCTTTGTTTCCATTTAGGTTCTGTATTATTTTTCTTAAAATTTTGTACTGAAATGACAGGAATTTTCATTATCATACATATAGCATGGGCACAACAATATAGAAGAGACATAGTTTCCAAAACAGAGTTAATTTTTTCAAAATAATCTTTACAAAGAATATTCATTGATGCTACTGTTGGAAAAGTTTTTTGTTGTTAGGAAGTTTAGGTAGTTTCGGTCTATTTTCTATTGGTGTATTTTTTATATTCCAGAAGGAAACATTCGAAAGTCCTTTTCATATATTCGCTGTCTTTGGAACTCACATCTATATCAAAACAATTTTGCTCTACTTTTTCGTTATTTAAGTTAGTAATATTTATATTATGGTTAATGTTATTTTCATTTAAGTCATCAGTCTCACCTGGAAGTGTTCGTTGGGAATTAGGAATTGAATTGATAGTAGATGTTGAGTACTCACTGCAAAGTTGTTCAATTAATCTGTCGTCCAAAATCTTACGACTTAGAATTACACGTACTTGATCTGAAAGTCTTTGGGCAGTTAAGTTTGTTAGGTTGAGTTGTAGCTGTTGGAATTCAAACAGCATTTTAGAGCGATAAGATGTAAGATTGGTTCCTCCTTTGGTAGCCTTATAGTACGCGCGCATAACACTTATATTTAATTCTTTAGTCCAGCGCATGCGTCGTCGAACTACACCATCAGTAGCGGGGTCCTCATGTAGGATGGTAATTCCTGCAGGTCCCAAGCCAGCCTCTGGCGCTCTTCGTCCCCTCAAAGATGGTACGGGGGTTCTTCTTGTGCCTCTTGGATTACATTCCATGGATATGTAGTCCTCCGTAGGCAATGTTACGTGTGCGATTGTGGTATTGGCGGTATTTATTCGTATTTGTCGTCTCGTTCGATGCATAATGTAACGTGAAATTAAATATTATATAAATCTGTTTGTAAAATTTCTTAGATGACAGTTGTCAATTTGAAAGAAATAATTTTTCTTGAAATTAGTATCTTTTCCACAGATTTTTAAAGTTTTATTTATATTGATATTGTAAAATCTATTTGCGTTGAGAATTTGTTATTTGGGAACTCGAAACATATGCTACAAAAATTCATTTTTAAGATTTTATACTGACTGCATCATTTACTTTTGACAACGTCCGCCATTATTTATTATTATTATTATTATTTTATTATTATTATTATTATTATTATGTGGGGTATCTATATAGTTTTCTCATCTGGTTGGGATGTATAAATATACAATTATAAACGAAAATGAAAAGATGAATATACATAAATATCAATAAAATAAAATAAATAAAAAAATACAAATATAAATAAAAGCCCAACCAGATGGAAGCCCTCGGCAGGGGAGACCAAACGGCCGAGGGTTAGGGGGAAAGGGAAAGAAACCGGCGGACGATGCGGGCGGTATCGAGGAGCACCGCCTTCTGCATTTGAGCCTGGAGCGGTCCGCCACGTACTCCCAGCCGCCTCAGATGACCCGAGAGGCTGACTGGGATTAGCCCGTTTGCAGAGACGACTACAGGAATAATTTCGGTCGGCAGATCACCCCACATGTCGGTCACCTCGTGAGCCAGGTCCAGATATTTTGTTTGCTTATCTGTTGCACACTTCGCGATTATTCATGGTGAGCGCGCTCAAGAAGCCACGCCCACCATGCTTTCGCGGCAAGTACAGCCTCATTACCGAAGATCTTGGATGGTGCATCCTGTGGGACGTCATGGTAGTGCGGACTTTTCTATCCAGGGCGTTAAGTTCAGTCTGAGTCCACCTGAGTATGCCAAAGGTATACATGCGGACAGGCATGACCCAGCCGTTATATGCTTGTGTCTTATTCACACCGTACAAAACGCTGTTAAGCACTTTGGTCAAGCGTGCATAAAACACGTCGCAAACTGATTGTTTCATACCAGCCTCATCGATACCGATGTTCTGTGACATACCCAGGTATCGGTATGTTTCAGCCTCGGAACTTATCCGTCCCCAGCTCCATTCCAATGGAATTGCTAAATTCACTAGTGATGTTTAGCAATTCCATAAGATGGGAGCGACTGGAGGCGAATAACTTGAGGTCATCCATATAGAAAAGGTGGGTCACTTTTGTCCCTCCTTTCCGTAGCTGAAATCCCCTCCCGGAGCCCTCCAGTAAGGTACTGAGAGGGTTCAGAGAGAGGCAGAACCATATTGGACTCAGACAATCGCCCTGGAAGATACCCCTTCCTATCCTTATGTGGTTCTCCGCAGCCGTCATCCACTCGCCCAGATGAAAAAGGATCGTACTCCACTGCCCCATACACTGCTCGAGGAAGTCTCTAACTGTACAGTCTATCTTGTACAGTTCGAGGACTCTCTTTAGTCATGTATGGGGCACCGAGTCGAATGCCTTTCTGTAGTCTATCCAGGCGGCGGAGAAGTTCCGACGGTTGCGTTTCACCACTTTGCCAATGACCGCGTCAATGAGGAGTGGTTCCTTGGTTCCACGACCCCCGCCCCGACATCCATTTTGAGCGCGCCACATCACCTGATTTGAGTCCAGGTGACGAGTGATTCTCGCGCTCAAAATGGATGTTAGTGTCTTGTATATGGTCGGTAGACACGTGATGGGGCGATATTTGCTCGGGTCTGTGGTACCCTGGCCTTTAGGAACCAAATGGGTGATCCCAGTAGTGAAGAGGCTCGGGAGCGACTTCTGGTTGAGAACCTCTTGAAACTGTCGGGCGAGCACAGTGTGACACACCATGAACAGCTTCAGCCAGTAGTGATGCAGCCCGTCGAGTCCCGGACTTTTCCAGTTCGGGGCCCTACGGACCGCCTCAGCTACGTCATCCGGCGTTATGGTGACGGGATCCATGGGCGTAATACCCGCACACTGAATCGCCACAACTTCCGTCCAAGGGCCCTCGTTGTGGTTTACGGGCTCTGACCACAGGCCGTGCCAGAATGCAACCGTGTCAGCCTGATTCGGTACTGGGCCCGTTCCACTTACCATTGTTCGCTCCAATGAATTATAGAGCCTCTTCTGATCACTCTGGAAGAGACGATTCTGGTTGAACCGTGTCGACCTCTCGGTATATCGCCGAATTCGCTTTCCCCAAGCAGCGATTCTCTGCTTCAGGTCGTCTTTGCGCTCCGTCATTTTTTGCACACGCATATAACGGTTGGGTCATGCCTGTCCTCATGTATACCTTTGGCATACTCAGGTGGACTCAGACTGAACTTAACGCCCTGGATAGAAAAGTCCGCACTACCATGACGTCCCATAGGATGCATCATCCGAGATCGTCGGTAATGAGGCTGTACTTGCCGCGGAAGCATGGTGGTCGTGGCTTCTTGAGCGCGCTCACCATGCATAATCGCGAAGTGTGCCGCCTCCGTGATTACTTCCTTGCGAGATCGGATGATCCATTCTATTAGGACGTCATTTCTTGTGATAAAGGACTTACCCCTCTATCCTTAGCCAACGAGCAATGGCAAGACGCGGCAGTGCAGAGCATTTCCGACCGGGAGACCGTATGGAAGGAGAAGGAGCTCCACGGGAGGTTCTACAAGGCTCTACATGAGCCTTTCGTAGACACAGTAGCCTCCCTCCACTGGCTACGCTTTGGTGATCTCTTCGGTGAAACCGAGGGTTTTGTCTGTGCAATACAGGATCAGGTTATTAAGACCAACAACTATCGGAGATACATCCTAAAGGATGGCACCGTCGACATCTGTCGAGCTTGTCGCCATCCCGGTGAGTCACTTAGGCATGTTATCTCCGGTTGTTCGGCGCTTTCTAACTCTGAGTACTTGCACAGGCACAACCTAGTAGCGAGGCAACTGGGACTCCGTGACGGACCGCTCCGGGCTCAAATGCAGAAGGCGGTGCTCCTTGATACTGCCCGCATCGTCCGTCGGTTTCTTTCCCTTTCACCCTAACCCTTGGCCGTTTGGTCTCCCCTGCCGAGGGGCTTCCATCTGGTTGGGCTTTTATTTATTTATGTATTTTCGTATTTATTTTATTTTATTGATATTTATGTATGTTTATCTTTTCATTTTCGTTTATAATTATTTATTTATACATCCCAAGCAGATGAGAAAACTATATAGATACCCCACACATAATAATAATAATAATAATAATGAGGCGTAGGGAAGTGACGACCCCATCGCCCGCTGATATAACGGTTATGTGACAAAACCGCTACGTCGGCGCAGTCAGTCAGCACCTTGCCAAGAGGTGTTAGTGCCGTGCCTCGGCAAAAATTAAAGGTGCCAAGGCCCACTTGTGCACATGGCCTAACCATGAAACGGCGCCGGGTCTGGGCGTCTCCCGCTAAATGACGCCCTAAAATGGATGATGGAATCAAATGGAACGCGCAAAGGGCCGCTGCCTGGAGGTCGCCAGGGCGCGTCTGGAGCTGGCGCTGGACGCGACAGCATGCGAACCGCCAGCCGAGCGCGAGGTGCTGCACGACCACCCAGCAGCTCCTCGCATCCATCATCCCCACCAGCTGGCTTGGTGCCCGGCAGGGTCTTCGCGGGCTCAGCAATCGGCACCCGCCACTGGTGGAGTACGCCGCATGCGTTGGACAACCCAGATGAACAGCAACGCATTGCGGGCGTATTTTAGGGCGAAAGGGGGAGAAACTGGAGGTTTTGCGTATCGGGCAAGGATGCATCGACTTTTCGCTGAGCTGGAGCCATCTGTAACCGTCACCGAGCAAAACCTGGCAGACCGAGTTCGGTATATCTTGCGCTCAAATACATTTGATGTCACCGAACTCGAACGGCTACGACGTGAGGCTGTTCCTTCATCGGGTGAAAATGCTGCGGCTGAGGATGCGGCGCCACAACTTGCTGAGCAAACGGCAAATCGTGGATGCCGCCGTGAATACGCCAGTTGTGGTTGATTCAAACGAAGATGGAACAGTCGCCCAGGAACTGGAACTAGAGCAAATGAGGATTGTGGAAACGCGCAGTACGACTCTCGAAAATCGACCGCGACTTCCCCGCTTAGCCCTAAGCAAGCGGAATCGGGCTGTCGTGAGGGCTCTGAACCCAATGCTGGTTACCTATTTGGAAGCCAGCCGGGACCTTTGCGATACGGACTCAATTCTTTTTGGCGCCGCACCTGGCAGTCTGCCGTATTATAGGTGCAACTTTCCACGGCTGGACGCGCTACTGGACAAAGTAGTGCTATCCCAGCCTGGAGAATAAGAATTGAAGAACGTATCGCAAAGGCTAGGAACCCTCATCGGCAGACTGATATGCTTCAGGTCAGGCAATACCAGGCCAAGGATTGTGCGCACCGTCAGGATGGCGTTTGCTGGGACAAATGTTAGTTTGTCCCAGCCGGATATAATGCAAAAAACTGACGGAGCGCATAGACGACCTGAAGCAAAGAATAGCTGCTTGGGGAAAGCGGATTCGGCGATATACCGAGAGGTCGACACGTTCAACCAGAATCGTCTCTTCCAGAGTGATCAGAAGAGGCTCTATAAATCATTGGAGCGACCAATAGTAAGTGGAACGGGCCCTGCACCAAATCAGGCCGACATGGTCGCATTCTGGCGCAGCCTGTGGTCAGAGCCCGTAAACCACAACGAGGGCCCTTGGACGGAAGTTGTGGCGAGTCAGTGTGCGAGTATTACGCCCATGGACCCCGTCATCATAACGCCGGATGACGTAGCTGAGGCGGTCCGTAGGGCCCCGAACTGGAAAAGTCCGGGGCTTGACGGGCTGCATCACTACTGGCTGAAGGGGTTCATGGTGTGTCACTCTGTGCTCGCCCGACAGTTTCAAGAGGCTCTCAACCAGAAGTCGCTCCCAAGCCTCTTCACTACTGGGATCACTCATTTGGTTCCTAAAGATCAGGGTGCCACAGACCCGAGCAAATACCGCCCCATCACGTGTCTAACGACCATATACAAGACACTAACATCCATTTTGAGCGCAAGAATCGCTCGTCACCTGGACTTAAATCAGGTGATGTCGCGCGCTCAAAATGGATGTCGGGGCGGCGGTCGTGGAACCAAGGAACCACTCCTCATTGACGCGGTCATTGGCAAAGTGGTGAAACGCAACCGTCGGAACTTCTCCGCCGCCTGGATAGATTACAGAAAGGCATTTGACTCGGTGCCCCATACATGGCTAAAGAGGGTCGTCGAGCTGTACAAGATTGACTGTACAGTTCGAGACTTCCTCGAGCAGTGTATGGGGCAGTGGAGTACGATCCTCTGTCATCTAGGCGAGCGGATGACGGCTGCGGAAAGCCGCATAAGGATAAGAAGGGGTATATTTCAGGGCGATTGTCTGAGTCCAATCTGGTTCTGCCGGACACACCGGACAAAAGGCTGTTAAGCACTTTGGTCAAGCGTGCATAAAACACGTCGCAAACTGACTGTTTCATACCAGCCTCATCGATACCGATGTTCTGTGACATACCCAGGTATCGGTATGTTTCAGCCTCGGAAAGGGTTCTTAAGTTGACGGGCATAGATAAGTCTATGCCCTCAGAGTTAGCAACCCTTCCCCTTTCAACATGGAGGACCACACACTTATCCGTCCCCAGCTCCATTCTAATAGAATTGCTAAATTCACACGTGATGTTTAGCAATTCCATAAGATGGGAACGACTGGAGGCGAATAATTTGAGGTCATCCATATAGAAAAGGTGGGTCACTTTTGTACCTCCTTTCCGAAGCTGAAATCCCCTCCGGGAGCCCTCCAGTAAAGTACTGAGAGGGTTCAAAGAGAGGCAGAACCAAATTGGACTCAGACAGTCGCCCTGGAATATACCCCTTCTTATCCTTATGCGGCTTTCCGCAGCCGTCATCCGCTCGCCTAGATGACAGAGGATCGTACTCCACTGCCCCATACACTGCTCGAGGAAGTCTCGAACTGTACAGTCAATCTTGTACAGCTCGAGGACCCTCTTTAGCCATGTATGGGGCACCGAGTCAAATGCCTTTCTGTAATCTATCCAGGTGGCGGAGAAGTTCCGACGGTTGCGTTTCACCACTTTGCCAATGACCGCGTCAATGAGGAGTGGTTCCTTGGTTCCACGACCGCCGCCCCGACATCCATTTTGAGCGCGCGACATCACCTGATTTAAGTCCAGGTGACGAGCGATTCTTGCGCTCAAAATGGATGTTAGTGTCTTGTATATGGTCGTTAGACACGTGATGGGGCGGTATTTGCTCGGGTCTGTGGACCCATGATCTTTAGGAACCAAATGAGTGATCCCCAGTAGTGAAGAGGCTTGGGAGCGACTTCTGGTTGAGAGCCTCTTGAAACTGTCGGGCGAGCACAGAGTGACACACCATGAAACCCTTCAGCCAGTAGTGATGCAGCCCGTCAAGCCCCGGACTTTTCCAGTTCGGGGCCCTACGGACCGCCTCAGCTACGTCATCCGGCGTTATGATGACGGGGTCCATGGGCGTAATACTCGCACACTGACTCGCCACAACTTCCGTCCAAGGGCCCTCGTTGTGGTTTACGGGCTCTGACCACAGGCTGCGCCAGAATGCGACCATGTCGGCCTGATTTGGTGCAGGGCCCGTTCCACTTACTATTGGTCGCTCCAATGATTTATAGAGCCTCTTCTGATCACTCTGGAAGAGACGATTCTGGTTGAACCGTGTCGACCTCTCGGTATATCGCCGAATCCGCTTTCCCCAAGCAGCTATTCTTTGCTTCAGGTCGTCTATGCGCTCCGTCAGTTTTTGCATTATATCCGGCTGGGACAAACTAACATTTGTCCCAGCAAACGCCATCTTGACGGTGCGCACAATCCTTGGCCTGGTATTGCCTGACCTGAAGCATATCAGTCTGCCGATGAGGGCCTAGCCTTTGCGATACGTTCTTCAATTCTTATTCTCCAGGCTGGGATAGCACTACTTTGTCCAGTAGCGCGTCCAGCCGTGGAAAGTTTGGCACCTATAATACGGCAGACTGCCAGTGCGGCGCCAAAAAGAATTGAGTCCGTATCGCAAAGGTCCCGGCTGGCTTCCAAATAGGTAACCAGCATTGGGTTCAGAACCCTCACGACAGCCCGATTCCGCTTGCTTAGGGCTAAGCGGGGAAGTCGCGGTCGATTTTCGAGAGTCGTACTGCGCGTTTCCACAATCGCCTCTTCCAATGTACTCCTCATTTGCTCTAGTTCCAGTTCCTGGGCGACTGTTCCATCATCGTTTGAATCAACCACAACTGGCGTATTCACGGCGGCATCCACATTTGCCGTTTGCTCAGCAAGTTGTGGCGCCGCATCCTCAGCCGCAGCATTTTCACCCGATGAAGGAACAGCCTCACGTCGTAGCCGTTCGAGTTCGGTGACATCAAATGTATTTGAGCGCAAGATATACCGAACTCGGTCTGCCAGGTTTTGCTCGGTGACGGTTACAGATGGCTCCAGCTCAGCAAAAAGTCGATGCATCCTTGCCCGATACGCAAAACCTCCAGTTTCTCCCCCTTTCGCCCTAAAATACGCCCGCAATGCGTTGCTGTTCATCTGGGTTGTCCAACGCATGCGGCGTACTCCACCAGTGGCGGGTGCCGATTGCTGAGCCCGCGAAGACCCTGCCGGCACCAAGCCAGCTGGTGGGGATGATGGATGCGAGGAGCTGCTGGGTGGTCGTGCAGCACCTCGCGCTCGGCTGGCGGTTCGCATGCTGTCGCGTCCAGCGCCAGCTCCAGACGCGCCCTGGCGACCTCCAGGCAGCGGCCCTTTGCGCGTTCCATTTGATTCCATCATCCATTTTAGGGCGTCATTTAGCGGGAGACGCCCAAACCCGGCGCCGTTTCATGGTTAGGCCATGTGCACAAGTGGGCCTTGGCACCTTTAATTTTTGCCGAGGCACGGCACTAACATCTCTTGGCAAGGTGCTGACTGACTGCGCCGACGTAGCGGTTTTGTCACATAACCGTTATATCAGCGGGCGATGGGGTCGTCACTTCCCTACGCCTCATTATTATTATTATTATTATTATGTGTGGGGTATCTATATAGTTTTCTCATCTGCTTGGGATGTATAAATAAATAATTATAAACGAAAATGAAAAGATAAATATACATAAATATCAATAAAATAAAATAAATACGAAAATACATAAATAAATAAAAGCCCAACCAGATGGAAGCCCTCGGCAGGGGAGACCAAACGGCCAAGGGTTAGGGTGAAAGGGAAAGAAACCGGCGGACGATGCGGGCAGTATCAAGGAGCACCGCCTTCTGCATTTGAGCCCGGAGCGGTCCGTCACGGAGTCCCAGTTGCCTCAGATGACCAGAGAGGCTAACTCGGATTAGCCCATTCGCAAAGACGACTACAGGAATAATTTCGGTCGGCAGACCACCCCACATGTCGGTCACCTCGTGAGCCAGGTCCAGATATTTTGATTGCTTATCTGTTTCGGCTCTCACGAGGTTCTCGTCATACGGGATGGTAATATCGACCAAAAATATCCTTGACTGTGCCCGGTCCATCAGCACAATATCAGGCTTGTTCGCAAGAATAGTCCTGTCTGTGATGATGGCCCGGTCCCAGTAGAGCCGGGCGCGGTCATTTTCGAGCACGGATTCCGGCAAGTACTTGTAATACGGCAATATCCGTATTTCAGAGCGAGCTCCTGGTGTAGAATTCTGGCTACTAGGTTGTGCCTGTGCAAGTACTCAGAGTTAGAAAGCGCCGAACAACCGGAGATGACATGCCTGAGTGACTCCCCGGGATGGCAACAAGCTCGACAGACGTCGGCGGTGCCATCATTTAGGATATATCTCCGATAGTTATTGGTCTTAATAACCTGATCCTGTATTGCACAGACAAAACCCTCGGTTTCACCGAAGAGGTCACCGAAACGTAGGGAGTTGAGGGAGGCGACTGTATCCACGAAGGGCTCATGTAGAGCCTTGGAGTACCTCCCGTGGAGCTCTTTCTCCTTCCATACGGTCTCCCGGTCGGAAATGCTAAGCACTGCTGGGTACTGCCATTGCTCGTTGGCTAAGGATAGAGGGGTAAGCCCTTTATCACTAGAAATGACGTCATTATAGAATGGATCATCCGATCTCGCCAAGAAGTATTGACGGAGACTGCACACTTCGCGATTATGCATGTTGAGCGCGCTCAGAAAGCTACGCCCACCATACTTTCGCGGCAAGTACAGCCTCATTACCGACGATCTCGGATGATGCATCCTATGGGACGTCATGGTAGTGCGGACTT